AAAAAAAAAAAAAAAAAAAAAAAAAAAAAAAAAAAAAAAAAAAAAAAAACACGATCCGGTTGACTATCCCAGTTGGTTGTTGGTTGGCACTATTAAGTGTACTGCAGGCAGCCGCGGGGATAGCCGGCACGAAGTGTGGCGTCAGAGTTTCCATAGTACATGAAAATGGAAGGGAAACAGTCAGAACTCGGGACCTCCTTAATGGCACTTGCGTGCCTAACCAGTTGAGGTATCCATCCATCTTTCTTTCTTTCTTTCTGTTTTTTTTTTTTTTTTTTTTTTTTTCCTCTTCTTATTCTAATTACGAGAAGAAAAACATCATTTTTTTTTGTTTTGTTTTACTAGTCTGGAAGGCCGGTGAAAAATTCACGTAAGCTGCTTATGTGTGCTCAGCCCACGGTATTCTTTAGTAAAAGGCGAAAGAATAGTACGCCCACTGAGCTGTCCAGTGATTCTTCTGCAGCTTTTTATGGGGCGACATCCCACTAGCAGATCCCACTAGCAACCCGATCTTCGTGATGTTTTTGCCCAAAAAAAAAAAGATTTAAGTGCCTGAATCTGGATGCAGAAAAGCAGATCAATCCCGTTTTCTGCAGCTTGCCACAAACATGTCCACATTCAGGCTTTCAATCCAATTGTCCTTGCTAGTGGGACCTCCCCCTGCAGAAATGTTGTTATGACTTCTCTTTCCTCTAAGGGTTGTCCTTCACAGCCGTACTTTGGCTATTTTCCCCAAAGGAAATCGGAGCTCCACGGCCAAACACATGTTTTCTTGGTTTCCACCCGCAGTAGCAGTTTTCTTCGAGGAGAAGGACCCCATCAAGCGGAGTGACAACAGCCTTGTAGGGCTGGGGCCGCTATCACGACCGGTATGGTTCCGCTTTTGAGCACTGTGTCCTGGCTGTAGTGGTGGTTAAGATACTTGGCTCTTGAGGCTGAGGTCGCCGGTTCGAGTCCGTGGTCACCGGTTTGAGTCCGTGGTCGCCGATTCGAGTCCGTGCTTGCAAAGAGGAGGGCTGAGCGGGTTATACCACCCATGGGGGTCATGTGGTACTTGGAGCCGAAGTGTGTGGGAATTGCCAGCGTCCGTGTGGTGTTGAGTGTGGTGTGCGTCAAGTTTCTTAAAGGCTATATTCTTCTCTTATCTATCTCATTTTTCTTGCTAGTGCTTATCTATCTCATCCTCTCACTAGTGAATGTGTAGTACAGGGGAACACCAACCAACCCGGATCTCTCCCCAGCCCACGGGGTAGGTTGGCACCACAAGCAGTGGTGCGAGAGCAAGGCTGTACCTGTCTCTTATACACATCTAGATGTGTATAAGAGACAGGTTGGCACCACAAGCAGTGGTGCGAGAGCAAGGCTGTACCAGTCCCTCATCACGGCGACGAGGGGTGGGCAGGCATTGCCGATGGGGGAAATCGGCGGTGCTAGCACCGAGCAATGGCCAGTCCTCTTATACACATCTAGATGTGTATAAGAGACAGCACCCACACATGGCGGTGTCTAATGGCCAATATTGCAGCTGCATAGCAACCAACAACATCAACCAAGGTCCTGCCAATGCTGGCTTGGGGGGCCAACGGGTTATCTCTCGCTGGTAGAACACCAAGCTTGCCCAGGCACGTACGTGAGGCCAATGGGGATTGAACCCACGTCCTCCTCCATGCAACTTCAGAATCTATGCCTTACCAACTGAGCTAGCCTTGCTCAGGAGGGGGGGGGGAGGTGGATATCACGACCGAAATGGTTGTTCCAGTCTTGCATACCGTGTCCGGGCTGTAGTAGCGGTTAAGAGACTTGGCTTTTGAGGGCAAGGTCGCCGGTTCGAATCTGTGCTCGCACGGAGGAGGGCTGAGGCCCAGAGGTAGAGAGCCGTAGACATAGACATCAGGTGGTGAGACTACGATACCCAAACTTCTTCGCAATCTTCATCCTCCTTAAATTTTGTGAACAGAGTATCTGAGTGCGCAACGGACACAACATTCGACCTCAGAAAGCACAATGCACACTCATTGTGTTTTGCAGAGTCTTGAGAGGGGGGGGGGGGGAACACAGTACAATGCCATTGGCATCGACTTGTTCTGCCCTCTTCGCCTGTACAGAATTAAGCTCTCATCGTGACTGTATATAGCCGGAAAGATTGCTTGTATACATGCACGATGAGGTTGCGTAGCCCAGTGGGGCATCGTGCATCTGGTGAATGTTCATGGTGTCGAAGTTGATTTGACCCTACTAGAGATAGCACATGAAATTGGATGCTACCTTCTTCCCCCGAATACAACGTACGGTCATTATAGCTGTATTTGACACATCTTTCAGTCTAGATACAGCTATAATGGCCGTACGTTGTATTCGGGGGAAGAAGGTAGGCATTGCTAGCCCTACTAGAGATAGCACATTTTGCAAAAAGGGGTCAAGAGGGGTACATAGAGGGGTACGTTGGCCCCTTTTTGCAAAAAGGGGTCAAGAAGCGCTATCGTTTTCTGGTACCCTAGAGAGGACTACCGTCTTCCCCCGAACACAACGCACCCTCATTTTGGCCGTATCTGGCCGGAAATATAGCTTGTATACATTCATTTTTAGGGTGCGTTATGTTCGGGGAAGGACGGTAGGGAAACAAAATAGACCATTGTTCCTTGGCTTGCCCCCCAAGAGCGACATTGGTCCCGCGCTGCGGGGACAGGGTATGGAGATGGACTACAGGCAAAACTACCATCTCCCCCCAAATAGAACGTACAGTTATGATACCTGCATTTGGGCCAAAATTCAGTCTAGAAACAGCGACCATAGTACGGTCTTTTTGGATGAAGACAGTAGTTGGCCATGGAACAGGAGAGGAATCCTCTTAGCTCATTGCCCAACGTATGAAGGAAGCCGTCTCATCGTAAAATTAATTCCGCATGTATGGGTAGGAAAGCGGTTAGTACGTGGTGGTCATTCTGGACCCTGCGATGTATGAGTGGGAGGATGTACAGGTACAAATGGAAGCACGCCAGGAAGTTTTTTTGAGACCATTACAAATTTTATTCAGATTCTGCAGAACGAAATCCCGAATGAATGGCACACAATGTTTCACAAGATTCTAACTGTTTTCTTGTTTCATTATGCTTTCGTGATGATTTCTGGATGGAATGTGTGTGTGTGTGTGTG